ATTGATTTGAGGTTCAGCGATAAGACGGAGAGTACTTATAGGCACATTTTCTACTTGTATCTTACGTTACTCCCTTCTTTTACTAGCACATTGATTGGAGATGCAAAGACCTTAAATTCACCACCTACAAATAGCACCACGTTAAATTTTGCCAAAGCAGGTCATGGCACCATTTTTATCTTTTGATAACAATATTTTACCGAACTATTTTGTGCTAAGGCTTCAACAAATGCATGTCATGCACAACCCTTCAGCAGCACGGCAATGCAGATGAAGTCAAGTAGGCGACGCCTTACTGCTATTCATTGATTGCGACTGCAAACAATCACTGTGAATGTAACTGCAACTACTGCGTGACTGCTCTCTCCCTTTCGTCAATGTTGACAGGGTTTTAAACTACAATCCATCATTTATCCTTTTTAGGCCCATTTGTAGTTGATTTTGACTGCACCATCATCAGTTGTCTTTAGCACAACTTAAATCGCCTTATTATTTTCAAGCTACATAGTTCAGCATTCCTCAATCGGAATATTCTCTCTGCCCTTAAGCCCATCCTTAAAAAGTAGAAAAAGAAAATGTTAACGAAAGTGCTGTCCCAACTTGTCTCCTACGATGCATTAATTGTGGGTGGTTCAGTCTGACCTCCTTCCTAGCATGCGACAGCTCTGTGTTCTGGCACCAAATCATTCTACCATATCACGAAGAGGATTGTAGTGATGTGACGTGTATATCCCATTCACTGAGGGATTCTTCCCTCATTGTTTAATGCATTGTGTTTGTAATTGGATGGAAAGATTAATTTTCACGTGCTCGTACTAAATATTAAATGGATTCTCCTAAAGTAGTAAAATAGTAAAATTAGGACTGTCCTTGGAGTAGATATGATCCTTGTCCACCTCAAATTTTTAGCCTGCGATCCGTGCTAAAGCTTGACAGTTCGTGGTAATGGACCACTACCGTAGTCGTATCCTCCACTTGGTAATGGCGATTTCCAGATAAACGAAAGTTCTATTTCAATGTGATGTCGATTTTTGACTGTCCCCTTACACACAGCAGCCTACCTCTAAGTGATACAAAGTCAACTTACAGTTTAGTGGCGTAAGTCTGTACGATATTTTTGTCAAATTTCTGCACTGTTCACCTTTATTTTAGCAAGTGCGTGGGTTGGATGTGGAATCGCCCACACGACCCGTTACGCCATATCGCAAAGAAGGCGCCTTGTAGGTCAAGAACATGAAAACTTATAGGCTGATGTAAGTATAGAGCATTCTTATAAATTCACCTTGATCTGTGAGTGTAGAGCATATCTAGCTTGAAGATGGCATTCCAGTTATGTCTCATTTTGTTTGCGACTTCAGTTTTGGCTCAGGAATACAAAGGAATGGGCGGTAAGTTGCCTTTTAATATTTGACTCTGATGGGCATTCATACAGAGTATTTGACAGATTGTAGCATATGTTGAGTAAAAATTTCATGTACAGCTTCGAATTAAGTTAAAAGTAGTTCCATTCTACCGCATTTAGGCAAATTGAAACTCTCATTAACCCCATATCGTAGAGGTGTAAGTATCCACACTATTCACTGCTGTTATTTGCTGAGGAGTGAGGTGTATGCTGCACGCCTCTACTGGTTGATTACGGTGTCCCAGACGAAAAAATTCGTCACCACTGGGTAAAGTCGTTGTCTCCACATTTCATGTGTAGTTCTCTTTCCTTACAATTCCTCCAACATTTTATGATCTCTGAACTTTAAATTATTTCACGCACTTGCGTATGATTTTGATCTGCAAATCAACTTGTAGGATAATGCTCATTTTCAGTCCCGTCAAGCAGCTGAATATAGTGATGTCCCGTTACCCATTACTAGTTCGACCAACATGTTTAGTGCAAATGTGCGCCCTTATCTGCGGTTTGTGAAACGAAAGGCCTGGAATATTTTAGCTTAATAACATATTTCCAATTTCAGTAGAGACAAGGACAACAGAGACTCCGCTCCGTAAACACTTCAATTTGACTCCTGTGGGTTCTCAGGGCATTCGCTTAAGTTGGGAAGTCCAACACTTGTCTGACCTCAAAGGAACAGATATTTCTCTAAAAGCGGTGAATCCTTCTGACCCGTTAGTCTACAAAAGACAAACTGCAAAATTCTCAGATGGACAACTCACTATCGGCGAACTGAAGCCCTCCACATTATACAAAATGACTGTGGAAGCAGTGAAAGCGAAAAAGACCATTTTGGGATTCACCGTAGACATTGAGACACCGCGCGCTGGTAAGTTAGTGTGTTACCATGGTGTGCAATTCTACGTTAAAGAATATTTCTCACCGACGCCTATCTGCAGTAGTGTTTCCTGTATTTTATTCAAAGGAAACACTGTTAAACTCACCACCACGAGGCAGTTCGTCACTACTCGTTACTATACAGTTTGCATTTGAGTGTCACACATGTCTTGCTTGACATAATTAGCTGAATGTCTTGTTTACATAGGCAAGAAGGAAAGCACTGTAATGACTAGTGGATCCGCCTTAACATCCGCAATCGCTGGTTTCGTATTCAGCTGCATAGTGGTTGTCCTTACTTGAACTCTCATGTAAGTCGATGCAAATTATCCACTGCTTCTATACTGAGTAGCACGACCCACAAATTGCATTTTTCAAATGACTCTTCTTCCACATCAGGCTTCCTTGGTGCCGAAGATGCACAAATCACCATTTATTTTCGCTTTATTAACATTTGTATGACCTCTCATTGTGGATTACTCCCGAATGACAAATACGGGACTTTGTCATATTTGCTTCATTGTTATCACCCTTAATTCCAATTCACTGACTCGAATTTGATTAACTCCTATGAATGAAGTGGGCCCTAATTACTGAATTTTAAGCGGTTCATTAGGATAGCAGACTGCGTTTTTTCATGCGAAATAGGTTAACATCAACCTACAAGTTTGGCTCACTAGACGGAATTGGGGCTCCACAGTGATCAATTTACTCACTATCCTGAATACCTGGCTTTTGTGTACGACTTATGCGTAATGTGGAGTATAGCGGCACATATAGAATGGGCGATTTTCCACTCAAACAGCGTATTTGCATCTTTGATG